TTAGATTCACAAATGTAATGGAATTTTGGGGGGTATTCTATGTAAAGTCATTTTAATCACAGCTGTTTTCTTCAGATATCAGGAGCGGGGTAGGAACACCTAAAACCTGTGGGGCTCCATCGGTCCAGATGTCAGCCTGAAATGGAGAGGGATTAAAGATGTTGTACTTGTTCATTTTATTTTGTTTTAGAGTTGAGGTCTTGATATGTTGCCCAGGCTGGAGTGATGTGGCATGATCATATATGGCTCACTACACCCCGAAGGGCTCACCTCCGACTCCTGAGTAGCTAGGGCAGACACACAACACCAAGCTCAGTTAATTTACTTATTCATTTATTTATTTATTTATTTATTTTTTGACTTGGAGTCTCACTCTGTCGCCCAGACTGGAGTGCAGTGGCCGCTCCCGGCCACCGCAGCCTCGACCTGCTGGGCTCCGGCGATCCTTCCGCCTCAGCCTTCCAATAGCTGGAACTACAGGTGCACGCTACCACGCCCGGCTAATTTTTTGATTTATTATAGAGATGAGGTCTCGCTGCCCAGGCGGGTCTCGAACCCATGGACTCAGGCAATCCACTCACCTCAGCCTCCCAAAGGCGTGGGACTACAGGCTGAGCCACCGAGCCCGGCTACTTATTTATTTTTTATAGACAAAGGAATCTCGCTGTGTCGCCCAGGCAGCTCTCAAACTCCTGTTTTCAAGGGATCCTCTCATCTTGGGTTCCCAAAACATTGGGCATGAGCCACCATGCCTGCCTGGCCAAACTCTCATTTTATACATGGGAAAACAAAATCTCCAGGAGGTTAAGTGACAACTACTTAACACTAGAATTTAAATTAGAACTGGAGTTTCCTGATTCTTAAACTATCCTTCTTTCCACAACATGATTCAGGAATCACTTTAGGATAGATCCTGGGTTTTTTTTTTTTTCTTCTCTTTTGACCCAAGAAGGGGAAAAAAAGTGTGAAAGCTTGAAGAAGTATTTTTAAAAACCAGGACACTAACAGTAAAGTTATCCCTGGAAAGAGGTGAAGAAGGTCATTTCAGAGGCTGGAATTAGCAGAGCATGGGAAAAGATAAAATCTAATCTAAGGCATTTGGAGTAAGCAGGCAATTAAGGAGTTTGTTGCTTGTGTTTACTTGAATGCCCCGAAACTCCCGAAACAGCCGGCTTTTTGAAATCCATAACCAAATCAGGACCTAGAAAAGGAGGACTTCTAACACGCAAAAGTGCAGTGTGAAACAAAAGGTATTTGTTTTTATACTTAACTTGGTGGGGGGAGAGAGTGACAGAAGTTGTCAGCTAGGGTCCTCTCAGCCCAGTTTCAGGGTCCTAGAAAATCCAAAGCGCATGTCCTCATTTTTTGTGAGTCACCCCAAGGAACTTTATTTGGCCTTCTAGACTTCTGAGATCTTGCTTCTATGTGTAAGCAGAGTAGAATTCACGGTAGAGACGGAAGGAGGTTGCATCTCAGTAATAGCAAATACATTCAGTGGGAGCGGGTGGTACCACTCCCCTCCCTACCTGACCTCGGCTTCCCTCCTCCCCTAACTAACTTCTTTTCTACCTGGTCCCTCTCCCCCCCCCTTCCCTTTCAGGAGCAGAAGAAACAACACAGGCTCCTCCTTCTCTCATCTCCAGCCCGCAGGCTTTCCCCTCCTCTGAAGTCAGAGAGCCTGCTGACAAGCTTGCCCTCAAAGTCTCTTCCCTCAAGGAGACTGACAGCTCCCTCCTTCCCTAGGCGGAACTGCAGGGTCAACTGTTAAGATTTTTTTTTTCCATAAAAAGTGTGTGTGAGTGTGTGTGTGTGTGTGTCTTTACACAAGACTGAAAATCTTTGAAGTTTAATGAAGATGTAAAGATGGTAACTGACTGTACTGTGGAATACACAACACACACACACACACATATTTGTTGTTTTGTTTTTTTTTTTGAGTTGGAGTCTCACTGTGTCGCCCAGACTGGAGTGCAGTGGCCGCTCCCGGCCACCACAGCCTCGACCTGCTGGACTCCGCAGTGATCCTTTCACCTCAGCCTTCCAAGTAGCCGGAACTACAGGCACGTGCCGCCATACCCAGCTAAGTTTTTGGTTGTAAAGATGAGGTCTCACCAAGTTGCCTGGACTGGTCTTGAACCTGTGGGCTCAGGCAATCTTCTCACCCTCCCAAAGTGCTGGGATTATAGGCGTGAGCCATGCCTGGCCGAGTTTATGTTTTTTTTTTTTTTGAGTTGG